AAGTTGATTCTCATGTTTTATTTTATTTTATTATGGGACAAAGCACAAAGGAAGAAATCTGCCTCTGAAATAAATATGATAAATATCTAAAAGAGAGGAGATATATCTCATAAAAAAAGATCAAATGTTATAGAAAGAGAGATTAGAACATGTTATGAAGACAGCTATAAATAAATGCCAACCAGTTTGGAATTTAACACAATCATTCCCCAGCATCTAGTAGACAAACTGGGTCTTTTAAGCTTAAACACTCCTTTGTGCAACTGGATTCTTGATTTTCCTACTAAAAGGCCCCAATATGTGCGAGCTGGAACAAATATTTCTAACTCCATTTTCTTGAGCACAGGTTTTCCTCAGGGCTGTGTCCTAAATCCACTGCTGTTCACCCTGTTGACTCATGACTGTAATGCTAGGTTTGCCACTATATTGTGATCTTTGCATATGATACAACAGTAGTGGGCCTTATTCATGAAGACAATGAGGGTGCTTACTACAAAGAGGTTGAGGGTTTGGTGAACTGGTGTAAGGAAAACAGCCTAGTTTTAAATACTGGAAAAAATAAAAAGATCATTGTCAATTTCAAAAAAGGCAGGTACAGCCACACTTCACTGTGCATTAATGATTCACCTGTGGAGATGGTTACCAGCATCAAATTCCTGGATGTGCAGTTAACAAGTAGGCTGGCTTGGTTGCTCAACAGCAAGACACTGGTGAAGCGGGCACAGCAGCGCCTGCATTTTAACTTAACCTCCTCAAAGCATTCTTCACTTCTTTATTTCTCAGGGTATAGATAATAGGATTAAGCATTGGAGTCAAGATAGTATAAAAGAGAGATAAGACTTTGCGAAATCCATTCAGTTTATTGGCATTTGGTACTACATAGATACTAATCAGTATGCCATAAAAAATAGTCACTACCAAGAGATGAGAAGAACAGGTGGAAAATGCCTTCTTTTTCCCTAAAGTAGAAGGCATTCTCATTATGGCTACAATGATGAAAGTGTAAGAGGTAACGGTTAATATGGAAGGTGGGAAAGTAAATATTGAGCATAAAACATAAAGGAAAATTCTGAAGGCATGAGTGTCACCACAAAACAGGTCTAAGATTGGGAAGGTGTCACAAAAGAAATGATCTATTTTATTATCACATAAAACTGATTGGGACATGGTAAACTGTGTTACTGAAGCTGCCAGAAAACCACTAATCCAAGAGAAGACTATAAGTCTGAAACACATCCTATCATTCATCATGGTAACATAATGGAGTGGTTTGCATATAGCTAAATAACGATCATAGGACATTGCAGATAACAAGAAACACTCCACAGCTCCCAAAGAAGCAAAAAAATAATGTTGTACAAAGCAGGCCCTAAGTGAAATCATATCGCTTCCAGTAAGGAAGCTGGTTAACATCCGTGGTAAGATATTTGAGCTGCAGCAGGTCTCCAAGCATGACAGATTCCCAAGGAAAACATACATGGGAGTGTGGAGATGTTGATCAAGGACAATCAATAGAATAATAAGTAGGTTCCCAGCCATGGTCCCCATATAGATGATGAAAAAGAGCAGATAGAGGGGAATATGTAATATCGGATAGTTTCCAAATCCCAGCAGAATGAATTCATTGTTGTAAGTCTGATTTATTAAATCTGTAATAAATTGTCCCTGGGAAAAATAAAATAACAGACATATTGACATTTTTTCTTTGATTTCAAAATATGTGTTAATGAAAAAAAAAGAAACACAGAGGTCTGACTGCTGTTTCATCAAATGTACTAATTCCATTATTGTAACATTCATAAAACGTTGCAAATCTTTTAAAAATGCTTGCTCTTACTACTTAAAAATAACTCATTTTCATTAATCCCAATGCAGAGGTACAATAAAAAAGCTACAATTGTTATAAATAAGATAGCTGAAAATTTCTTTCTAAAACTCCCAGCAAAATAGATCTATCTATCTATCTGTCTGTCTGTCTGTCTGTCTGTCTGTCTGTCTGTCTGTCTGTCTGTCTGTCTGTCTGTCTGTCTGTCTGTCTGTCTGTCTGTCTGTCTGTCTGTCTGTCTATCTATCTATCTATCGCTATTGTATCTGGCCATTTCTATATTTTTCTATCTCTGTAGAATATAAGCATGTGATTCACAATGTATCAGGAAAATGTATGAAGTTTCATAATATTTGTTATTAATCCTTTGAGAAAAGGTAGAATAAATTAATATAAAATAATACATCATGACATATGAAAGGAGAGGTAATATTTGTCATTAGATAAAGATGTAGTCTACATTATTTTAAAAAAGCAATTATTTTCAGTTTTATAAGATTAGTACTGAGATTTCAAACTTACAGCAAAATGGCCCTACTGTATGTATGTATGTATGTATGTATGTATGTATGTATGTATGGCTTTTTTTCTCATAGAACGCCCAGAACGGAGTTCCGTCACCTTTTTTGGATGGAACCTTATAGGGTAGGCAAGGTGGGTTGTATGACGTTTGTGAGTTCTGGCACCTTTTTTTTTTAAAGCATTGTATGTATGTATGTATGTATGTATGTATGTATGCATGCATGCATGCATGCATGCATGCATGTATGTATCTATCTATCTATCTATCTATCTATCTATCTATCTATCTATCTATCTATCTATCTATCTATCTATCTATCTATCTATCTATCTATCTATCTATCTATCTACCTAGGGCTTTTTTTCCCATAGAACACTCAGAACAGAATTCCAGCATCTTTTTTGGATGGAACCTTGTAGGGTGGGCAAGGCGGGTTGTATGAGGGGTGTGAGTTCCGGCACCTTTTTTTTTTTTTTTTACAAAAAAAGCACTGTATCCATCTATATATGCTCTGTTTAAAATATTTTACTCTTGAGGTTCACAGATAATTGTTTCTACTAACTGTTTCTGAAAAAAATCAGTTATTCACACTTAGATTTTTTAATCACAGAATTAGGAAGAAAAAAGTAAAGTCATTATGTAGTCATGACTTATTTTTACAGGAAAATATTTGACCCTTAATTTCAAGAACCACTATTCAAATTATTCTAACATTATTCACCCTAAGATTTATTACATTGATTTGTCTAGACTAAACTAAGACCAAATTAAAACAGTATTTCATTTATTTAATTCAGAGCAGTGCTCTAGCAAAAATAAAGCAAAACAAAAATACCTCATCCATTATTGGTATTTGAAATTTGAGAATTGTGCATCACCATGTTATCTTTAATGGCCAAATAGGTTCCTCTTCCTTTTCTCCTGAAACATCTTTCATAACATTTGGAAATATAGATCCAAACAAGTATGTTTTATATATAATGATTCATTTATAAATCTTGTACCAGTTTTCTTGGCATTATGGTTAATACATTTACTATTAAATGTCCTCAGGGGAAATTTACTGAAGAGAGAGCAATTAACAGCAACTAAGAGTAATTAGTGATGTATTTGAGCAAAACACTATACTTTATTCTATCTCAAAAGCTTGTGAGCTCTTCATGCTCACAGTTTGATATGGGAGAAGGTTTGGCCCTCCATGTAGTGCAGTACTCAAGAAGGAAATGTGTGATTGGGTATTTCTTGAACATCTTAACTCCATAAAGTATCCTCAATATTGCCTTACACGGTTTTGTCTTTGCTTTGCAATAAAAGTCATTACTCTGAATGCAGAACTTTTCTTCCTTATGTGAAAGGGCTGTTTCATTTTCTGGTGGATATCTAGAGGAGGAAGAAAAAAAAACAATATTTTTTTTATCAGAAAAGTACATATTATTGTAAGAAATTACCATAGTATTTAGAATTGATTGTTTGACCTAGAATTACAGGGATTTCTTGAAAGGCAGTCCTGAGAGAGAGAGAGAGAGAGAGAGAGAGAGAGAGAGAGAGAGAGAGAGAGAGAGAGAGAGAGAGACTTATTATGCAGCCCTATAAGCATACAGCCACAACCAATTTGCATGAATGGATTTGTAGATATGCTGCTATCTTAAAAACAAATACAGGCACACAAATGTGTTCACTGTGGAGTGAGGGAAGTGCTAATATGAAACATTTGGCATTGAAATATTTTGGCAAAAACTTTGTCTCTGATTTGTTTAAAACATTGCAATGCAGACACGAAGGGGCAAACATGGGTACTCATATTTGAATAAAATATATTTATTCTAAGAAACAGAACAATTAGAAACATAATTCAATCAGTTTTATTAAGGTCTCTGATCAAGTTCATAAATTTAACAGCCAGTACTAAGAACAATGCATCTTCAAATAAATCTAGTTACTATAACTATTAAAGGAAATACAAGTTGTTATTTAGTTAGCAATATTTCATAGGCCTTTTCAGTGCTTTTTGTGTAAAAAAAAAAGGTGCTGGAACTCACACATGTCATACAACCCACCTTGCCTACCCTACAAGGTTCCATCCCAAAAAGGTGCCGGAACTCCGTTCTGGGCGTTCTATGACAAAAAAAAGTCCTGGGCCTTTTTCAATTTTCCATTCTAGAGCTGAGGGAGAGTGAATAGCCCAAGTCATTCAGCTATCTTTGGTTCTTGAGGTAGGACTAAAATATGGTTTATCCCTCTCTAATCTTAACCCTTACACACCACTAGATGTTTAATATACATAATAAAAATCTACTGTAATATATTGTACATTATTATATAATAGAAACAATATAATATCTGTTGTGCCTTTTCATTATCTCCTTCTATTATATTGATATATTTCTATGTCTATTTCTGCCCCTATTTAAGGAAGACTAGTAGAAATATTGTTGGAGGAAAAAAAGGATCTGAATTACCTGTTTTAGTAATTCTAAAGCCAATAAAGTTCTAAATTTATTTCAATGTGCTGGCACAGTTTACAAAATGAGTCATACTCAAAAATCAGTTTGGTACACAAAAATAATAATGTATATTTAGTTATTTTATAAAGAATATCATAAATATAAAATGGCAATCACATCTTGAAATCTTTACAAGAAAAGAATGTAATCAAATGTTTTTATATCTGATTTTTTCCATGAATTTAAGAAACAGGTATGAAATACATTTCTTGAATGCATCTTTCACCTCTTTATTTCTCAGGATATATATAATAGGATTAAGCAGGGGAGTCAAAGTAGTATAAAAGAGAGAAAGAACTTTATGAAGTCCATTCAGTTTATTAGTGTTTGGTACCACATATATACTCATCAGTGAGCCATAAAAAATAGTAACTACCAAGAGATGAGAAGAACAGATAGAAAATGCCTTTTGTTTCCCTATAGTAGAAGGCATTCTCATTATTGCTACAATGATGAAAGTATAAGAGGTAAAGGTTAATATAGATGGTGGAAATGTAAATATAGAACATATAACATAAAAAAAGACTTTTAAAGCATAAGTGTCTCCACAAAATAATTCTATAATTGGGAAAGTATCACAGAAAAAATGATCAATTCTATTATTACAAAAAACTAACTTGGATATTATAACCAATGTAATGGTATTTGCTAGAAATCCACAAATCCAAGAGCAGGTGATGAGCCTGAGACATATTTTGCCATTCATCATAGTGACATAATGGAGAGGTTTGCATATAGCTAGATATCGATCATAGGACATTGCAGATAACAGATAACATTCCACACTTACAAAAGAACCAAACAAATAATGTTGCACAAAGCAAGCATTATATGAAATCTGTTTGCTTTTAGTAATAAAGCTAGAAAGCATTTGTGGTAAGATGCTTGAGCTGCTGCAGATCTCCAAGCATGAAATGTTCCCAAGGAAAAAGTACATCGGAGTATGGAGATGTTGATCATAGGTAACTAGCAAAATAGTTAGTAGGTTCCCAGCCATGGTCCCCATGTAAATGAGGAGGAATGCTAGGAAGAGAGGAATTTGTAGGCTTTTCTGGTTTCCAAATCCAAGCAGAACGAATTCATTGATATATGTCTTATTTTTTAATTCTGTATTTTCAGATAATTTCCCCTGTAATAAAAGAACCATGGCAAATCATAATATATTTGTCTTTAATTTCCAAATATGTGATCGTAAGAGAAATACAGCTGTAGAAACTTGACATTTATTTCCTCAAATGTTCTAATTCTGTGATTGATATATCTCTGAGTGGATGCCACTTTCAGAAGTCCATTCTGTGCCTGGGCAACAAAAAATCCGCTACTGGTTCTGCTGAACTGGTGCAAACTGGCTGAATCCTACCACTGGATACATCTATAAAATCTTTGCCAACTTCCCCTCTCTATGTCTTTCTCTTTTCCTTTTTACAAACTGATATTTAAAATGTGCATTCATGTGAATAAATAAAATTTGTATTCAACCAAATGCATATGAGTCAGAAAAGAAAGTCTAAATTATGTACCATGAAATTCCATCTAAATATCCATCTAATCCTTCCTTCCTTCCTTCCTTTCTTTCTTCCTTCCTTCCTTCCTTCCTTCCTTCGATATCAGCTTTATTTTCTATTCATGGAATTGGATTTTCAGGTATGGAATCATATCAAATGGATATTCATAAAAATGTGGAGGTTCTTTTTCTAAATATGAGACTCAGTAAGAAAATGTTATCAAACTCTTTTTATGATATGTTACTACTACTACTACTACTACTACTACTACTACTACTATTATTATTATTATTATTATTATTATTATTATTATTATTATTATTATTATTATTATTTAGTATCCTTATAAATTTACAGCCTGCCTTTTTGCTAAAAATGGAAAGAAATGCCAAATAGAAATTTGAAATTACAGCTCCTGTATGCTGTGGACACATTGGGTACAATTAAATACACCAGCAACATAAGTGTAGAATATGACAGGAAAAGAAATATTAGTTCTTCTGATGATGTGTAGTCTGAATGAATTGTCAAAATTCAATTATTATTCATCCTTATAATTGAAGTTTACTAATTTAAAGTATAATTAACCAATTGTCTTTTCAGCTCTTTTTATATTATTCACTTTTATTCCCTTTTTAAAATTATTCCCTTGAATCTTGAATTTTGAGATTTACAGATTATTGTTTCCATATTGTGCCTGGAATTTCATTAACAAAAAAATCTAGTAAAACTAATAGTAAAATATAATGTACCTTCATTGTGTAGTCATGATATATTTATAGAGGAAAATGCTTGATCCTAAATTTCAAGAACAAAAACAAACAATATTTTCCAATATTCAGTCACAGAATTTGTTTTGTCACATTGATTTTTCTAGATCAAACTAACAATCAGTTGTGATTGCTTCAGTTATTTATTTCATACACAACGTGCTTCAGTTAAAAACAAAGCAAAATAAATAAACTTCACCCATTTTGGATATTTGTAATCTAGGAATTATCATGTTGTCTAATGTCCAGTTATGGTATATTTCTTCAGAAGAAAAAGAGAAAATTTCATAATATTCTAAAATATAAGTATGAACAAGTATCTTTTAGATATAAGGTTCCCTCCATATATTATGCTCTAGTTCTTTGGTATCATGTTTAATAATTTTATTGTTACCTGCACTTTCTGTACCCAGGAGAAATTTAGTAGTGAGAGAGCAATTAGTAATAACTACTGTAAGTATAATTAGTAAGCTGTATGAACAAAAAAAGTGTTATTCTTTCTTGAAAAGTCTAAATATTTATGAATCCAGTAAGAGATATGTATCTCAGATTTTTATTTTCACATTTGATTTATAACTATATGTTTTTGTATGTGCTCTTATGAAACAACATTTTTTTAAAAAAAAACAACACCACCTTATTTATGGAGTGGAGTGAAGAAAGTGGTAAAATGTATATTGAAACATTGCAAAATGAATTCTGTTTCGGATTTGCTTGTTAATATTGCAGTACAAATACAAAATTGCAAGCCTACATTTATTATTGTTATGAATTGATATTTATGTTTAATTATATTAAATGTTATATTATATTAGTTATATTACATGTTATACATGTTATATTATATTACATCTATATAGCCAGTCATCTCATAAACATGTTTCTGGGCAGTGTACAGTAAAAATTAAGCAATTGAAAATAACCATTAAAAACATAAAATATACATGTGATAAAACATGGGAGACTGAGGTTTTTTGTTTAAAAATCATTCTCAATAATCCCATATTTTATGTATTTTATATACACATAGATAACAAAGCAATTAGAAGCATATATTTATTCAGGGTTATTATTATTATCAAAAAATTATTATTATCAAAAAATTATTATTATCAAAAAATTAAGAGAATGCAAACAGTAATATAATTTCGAAGAAAACTGGGTAACATAACTCTTAATAAGAATATGATGTCAACGCTGTAAACATTGGATGTTCCCACTTTGACAACTGATTAAAATTGCAGCCATTTTCTCTTTGCTTTTAACATGCTTTTTCTTCTATTTAGAAATGAGGTGCAGAAGGGGGTGGGATGAAAGCTTCAGCTCAGCTAGCCATAATGCTGCTTTGTGGGAACCCAAGGACAAGCTGATAACATTTTGGCAGGCTGAGGAGCTGGGGAGAAAGCCCGAGTTTTAGGCTAATTGGAGAATATGATTTATGACAGCTTATTGGGGGTGGGAACTGCACTTTGTTACTTTGTATCCAGGGGAAGAGAATTTAGTTTTGGAGTTCAACTATGTAGTGCCGATACTTTGTTTCCTGAATAAAATGTTCTTTAAGGAAGAATTTTTGCCTTGAAGTTCTTTTGATGGGTTTCATCTATTGGAACCATGACATATAAATTTTTATTGGTTTAAGAGGACTTCATTGTTCTTTAAGCAGGCAGAAAGTATTCTGTAACATGTCATATGATGCCAGATGTTTGGTCCACAAGGTACAAGGTTTTGGGTTATCAGGAATTTACAAAAGTTTGCATATAATTAAGTATAGCAATATGCCACTTATAAGAGCAACAATGTAAAATATGGATCAGAGTTTTAATTGCTTTATTTTACTTTAGTTTTTACTAAAATTATTAAAGTAATTACTTGAATTACTTCAATTAATTAAATTTTTCAATAAGGCAACAATTTCATACTTGTTTTGTTTTTGTTTTTAATCTCTCTTCTACAACTGCTGTGGACAAGCTAGGTTTTCTACAATATTTTATTGTGAAAAGAACTTCCAGAAGTTTTGATAGCTATGGTTAAAATATCCAATTTTCAAGTAAAAAGTTAATAGCTTCATTAGAGGATTTTTTTTCCCTAAAGTTGTTTTTTTTACAATTTTTATTTATTACATTTTTAAAATTTTTCCTTTATTACTCTTATAAGTAACTCAAGGCAGCAAACATACACAACTCTTCTTCTTCCTATTTTTTCTCACAACAACCTGAGCTGAGAGAGATTAGCCTAAAATCATCCAGAGGAGTTTCATGTCTAAAGGCAGGACTAGAACTCACAGTCTAATCTCCTGGTTCCTAGGCCAACACCTTAATCACTACACCTAAATCTGAATGAGATTTCTACATAGGTATTGTATATTGTATATTACATTCATGGCGAATGGGATTTGACATATATATATATATGCTGTATGTTATAAATTATTGCTATTATGACTATATGTGAAAAACAAAGCTAGGATTAAGGCCTTTCTATTTAGATTAATTTTAATCTGCTTTTAGGAAAATTGGGCCAGCTATACTTTGTTTTCAGCTTTTAATTCCCTGGAAGAGATCATAGGACTGGGATCTCTTTATATTATTTATAAATGTACTGTATTACTCCCATCTTGTTATTGAAACATGACAAACCAAATTAGGTATATAAGCCATATATCTGTATAAGTATATAAACCATATATACTTATATCTGAATATAAGAAGTATCCTGTGGTTAGTGACTATCAATATCTATTATTCATTGAATACTTCCATTATTCTTCCCTCTCTCTCATTAATAAGTTATATATCAATTTGAACTTTCCAGTTCAATCTCCAGTTTCTCCAATGATGTTTGCCAATAATGTTTGCCAATACCAATGTTATTCATTTTTTTCTTCTGCTATTCTTCATATTCTGTAAATTCAAACCTTAATTAAATTGTTAAATTTTTCTACTTATGCTGAGGAAATGTAAATTTTTATAGAAAGAATCTTACATATTAAAACTTCATAAAATATGTATTATTATCACCCTAAGTAATCCATTGAATGTTGAAGGCCTCTTCTTTGAAAGTTGTGGACTAACATTTACCATATTGGTCTATCTCAGGTTGTTAAATAGATATATTTAAACTTTCCTGAAACAATGATAGAAACTGGCTGGCCAAAATTCTTAAGATATCTATGGTGTCTAAGGGAGGACAAGAAAGTGGGTCATCTCATACCTAACCAGGCATCTTGTGAGTGTTTTGCATACACAAACATACATGCACACATAGACACATAGACAGACATGCACACACAGACAAATAGACAAACATAGAGAAAGAGAGAGTTAAAAAAAAAAAATTCAATCACTGATTATCTGTTTTAATAAGGATAGCTTTTAATGTATTCCAAGGTATGTTAAGTTTAAATCAATTTAGCATATTCATTGAAATTCTAGTTAATAACTGTTTTCTGCACACAAAAATAATTATTTAGCCTATAAATAAAAAAA